CTGCCTGCTTCCCAGCCTTACGTACCTCCCTGAATTACCTGTACCTGAGTAAGACTCATTCACCTTGACGATTCAACTAAGAAAACGATTGTTTACTGTCCGTAGCTTCTTATTTTCTATTATTACCTATACACAAGGTTTTACCCAAGGCCGGCTGAAAACGTCCAGTATACACTTGTCCCGGACATCAGGCCGAACTGGACTTCCTGACATTGTGTTTCGTCGTCCTTCCGCCAACTTCTACGTAACTAATACACCACCACCTGAGCTTGACGCAACGCCCGCCCCCCGCCGAGACTTGAACCCCGCCAACAACATATTGAACACGATACCCCGGATCGGATTTCAATCTCTACCGAACAGCAACTTCACTACGACTGAATACGTCTTTTTGTTGAAAAGAATAAGACACTGCGTTTTCGCCCACGGCTTCTCTCGGTTGCTACGATGTCGCACGTGGTGGTCATCGGCACGGATTTGCGGAGAGCTACTGTCAAGGTCAGCCCAGGCACCTACATGACAGATGTTCTCCAAGAGGCATGCAAGAAGCTCAACGTCTCGAGCGACAAATACCTCTTGAAGTACCTTACTCATCCCTGAAGACCATCCTTCCTCGCAGTAAGCTAACCATCTGCTAGGCATAAGCAGAAGATAGTCGACCTCTCAGTAGTCTGGCGAGTGAGCGGTCTCACCCCCGGCGCCAAACTCGAGCTCGTCCAGAAGTCCAAGACACCATCAGCCGTTTCCGTCGCACTCCAGTTGCCGATGCCCGAAGCCAACTCGGCGCCCAACGGTCGTTTAATCGAGAAACTACCTAGCGACTTTACGATATGGAAGGTACTGCGCCAGTTTGAGAGCGGCGTCGCTGGAAATGGGAAGAACTTCAACATCACAGCACGGGGCGTTGCGCAAACAACAAGCGGAGGCGCGAGTGGAAGCGGTCAGATGTACTACGAGACACCAGTCCTAAACATCATGGGTCGGGAGCTTTCCACGTTTGAGGACTTCCAGAAGACACTGTCGCAACTTGGATACAATTCGGGCAGCGTGCTGATCCGCTTGTCGTTCAAAAAGACGGACCGCACGCTGTTCCAGGCTATGGAGGAAATCAGCCAATTCTTTTCTGAAGTTGAGGCAGAGGAGAAGAAGGCGGCCACTGCTCCAGCTCCGGCGCCCGCCACGGAGGGAACAGAGTCTACAGCAGCTGAAACTGCCATCGAGACGCCAAAGGGCACAACGGCTGGACAGCCAGGCGGCACTCCAACGCAAGGACAAGCAGATCAGGAGGCGCCGGCAGCAGATGCCATGGAGGTTGATGAAGCAGAGCCGACAGACCCTCTGCAGCCTGTCAGCGTCTTCCGGGCACCAAGCGGAACCACTCCCGCGGCAGCCCTTGCAGACGTGCCAGAGGACGACTACGCCCCGACGATTGCCCACGCCCAGCTTCATCAGGCTCGACTCCAGCAGAGCGCGCTCAACAAGAGACTTCCTTCCGACAAAGAGTTGGAGGCGCAAAGACAGGCCGAGGAAGCCCGTCTAGCGGCTGTCACCACAGTTCCGATGAAGGTGCGGTTTCCCGACAACACTTCAGCACAATGGACGTTTGGTCATGAAGCTACAGGGGCGACCCTCCACCAGGGCGTGAGATCTGTCATGGCACACAATACTCAACCCTTCAAGCTGGTCATACCCGGCAGCAAGGTCATGATTAAGGATGATGAGAGCGCAAAGAACCGCTTGATACACGACTACAAGCTCACGCGTAGTGTGTTACTGAGTCTGGTCTGGGATGACAGCGTGCCGGTAGATATCCGCAAGAAGCCCTTCCTCAAGGGTAGCGTCGCTCAAAAGGCTCAGGATGTCACAGTACCGGACATTCCCAAAGGCGACGACACGAATGAGGAGCAGACTGTTGCTTCGTCGTCGAAACCTGAGAAGAGGGAGGGAAGTGGGGATGGCAGCGTTGCGAAGAAACTTCCCAAGTGGCTCAAGCTGCCTGGAAAGAAATAGACGGATCATCTTTTGTACAATGTTGCAGCATTACTCGGCCATCTTCGCATGGCGAGCGTATTCATGGGTTTGGAGTTTCATGGGGCATAGGGTAAACCAGATAGACTATGGTCAAGTCGTCAATCAGAGCCTTCACGAGAGCATATGATCACTCCAGAGCGAACGGAACATGAACAGTGTCAAAGAAAAGAGTCTGAGGCAGCAATGAGTTGTGCTTGAAATTTTGGTATTTGTCGTAAAGGCATCATCATTCCATGATGATACGGGGGAGTCTTCCGTTGATTTGTTTTTAGAAATAGACCACAAACTTTTATGCTGTGACCACGCCCTTGACCCATATAAACCCAGTAGTTTGCCAGTCCAACACAACAGCCCCGTTGCGCCCCATTTTGGTTTTGACGAATTCCTTTCGAAGAAGAAAATCGTTTAGTGACCGACACGGCGGGACTCGGCGATGACGCGGGTCATCTCCTCGACCTTTCTCTTGGCACGGCCGAAGGTGCCGAGCCTCTTCTTGGCGAGCTTACGGGCGCGCTTGTCCTTGGAGTTGCGGAGCAACTCGATAACGCGGCGCTCGTAGGGGGCAAGGCTGTGGAGGAGGGATATGGTTAGCGACTTGTTGTCCGGTTTGGATGTAGATGTGAAGTGCGTCCAGGGCTATATAATGTGGACGGCACATGGAGATGGTGTGTGGATGGAAACTTACCCGGAGACTTCCTTGACGACGTCACGGACGAAAGCGGTGCGCTTGCTCAGGTGGCCCTTGGTGCGGGAGACACGGGGCTTGACGACACGAGCGGTGGTCTTCTATATTTCCGAAACAATCACGACCGGTCAGCGTCCATCTTCTGCAAATAAGGTCCCCTCGTGGGAAGAGAGGTGTTGTGCAGAGATCCTCCACGAGGTGAGACGAAGCGGGTGTGGGGGAGAAGGGACAGTGCCGCCGATTTCCCTTCTTGACAGAAAAGCCCATCCTTCTGTGTGTTCATTCTTCAATGTGTGTATCCATCATCGAATCGTATTTCCATAATCGGAAGTTCGAAGATTTCGTTTCGCAGAATTTCGGAGGGGCTTTTCTCTCAGGTCGGGACGGCGGCGGTGATGGTTGCGGTGGTAGTAATGGTTCGACATACGTGTCCATGGTTGAGACCGGTGATGAGACCGGTCTTGACGGGCGCTTCCTTGGCCATCTTGAATGCTGGATGACGGGTGGGTTGTCGGGTTAGTATTGTCGTGATGGTCGGAGGGGGAAAAGCCAAAAAAGCCATTCGACTACGAAAAAAAAGTTGCAATGGCGGATTGGGAATTTTCGGCGGGTGGGTTTGTGCGGTCACGTGGCTTGGGGCTTGTCAAAGGCTGCAGGTCGTTGGATTTTATGGGGGCTTCTGCGGGCCGGGCTGGGTAAGGTGGTGGAGTCCTTGAGAGAGGTTGGCTGGATTATCACCGATAGGCTCTGATTGGCTTCCATTTCTAGAAGACGAAATACCCCGAGATGTTCTCTATTCTACGGATTAATCTCTTCCCATTGCAACGCCTCGATGAGGCACACGTCTATCGGTACAGAACAGGATGGTTCCCTTACGTGAATGTTTGTCAAGGTAGGCAGCATTGAGGGGAAATAGCAATTGGGAGTTGGTCAAGACAACGTCTTACAAAGATACGGCCGGTAGTGGTGCCCATCATGGGGACGCAAGCCTCAGCACTGGTTTGACGGCTGATTCTCTACGCTTCACTTCCACTTCACTGACTTTCCCATACAACCAGCTCGCCGTGTATCCGTAAGTTACGAAGGTACGGTTCTGGAACCGAAGGCTGCGTCCAAGCTATGTCTAGGTAACTTGACTCACCCATTGCATGCATCTCGTATCTGTACCTGAGCTCAGCCAACACGAGCCAGAGAGGATGCACGCCGGGCCTGATACATTTGTATCTTCTTTCAACGGCCTGGCTAAGCCAGCCAGCCAAAGTGCTCACTCTGGCAGCAGAGCCGCGGATCGGGATCGTCCGTCCAAGCTTTCCTGTTCACTCCATCACTTGTTTCCCTCTTACAGTATGGGGCCATTGTCCAAGTCCCTCGAATTTCAGACCCCTCATGCACTGAAGCCACAGTCGTACCTTACTCAAGACTATGGAGCCCCAGCCCCCTGAGCACAGCCTCTCGTACGTCCCTTGACAGAATAGTGCCGTCCACCTATGTCAGGCTGAACAGCATTTGGAGAAGCAAGGCAATAAGGGCAGTGGGGCAGATCTACGTTTACCCAACTTAGCCGTCGGTTGGCTGTTGGCGTCCGCTTCCAAGAAAGGGGGATCTCAGATGTGATCAACAGCCCAGGCGTGGACCAGCGCAGGGTGCCATGCTGGGAAACATGAAACACGCAGGAGCCAATCAGGTCCAATACTTCCCCTGAATAAGGACCAAAAATGCCAACCGACGAGCATCAACCTCCCACGCATCACCGCTACTACTGCTACCATTCGTATATGCTGCATTAAGGCCACTCGTAAGTTCTTTACTAAAGTATCCTTGGAGTCCATCTTTAATGGCGGGCTGGGAATGCCCTTCTCCCCTACTATGGAGCTAAGAGGCCAACCGCCTGCACCTCAGCCATCCTGTTAACGCGGGCGGCTCGGACAATTACATCAGGATCTGCGTATTGCTCTCGCCCTTAATGAGAGTTTAGCCATGTCATCGTAGCCACCCCTGAATAGCGGTTTCCTGCAAGGAACAGCATAGAAGATCTGCTAGGTCTGTGATCCTGTGCTTAAATCGGACCTTATTAATAAAGGTTCATCTGGGAAGCAGCTGTCAGCAAGACTACTAGATCAGCATAGTCCTTGACCTCTGATCATCCCATCTTTCCAGTCTTTCCATTTCCTCCTCAATTGTTGGAACGTTTATCTCTTCCTCTAACGTTGGCACTCTTTGTCTAGAAAAGCATACCTACAATCCTTGATCATACCGCGCTCGTAAACCAAAACACACGCAAGCCATGAAGCTGTCACTCCTCCTCATTGCCGTCCCCGCGGCACAGGCCGCGGTCTCATACATGTCAGCCGTTCCCGACAAGCTCATGGCCATGGTCGAGGCATCAGAAGACTGCAACCTACCCGATGACTTCCAGATCCAAAACTTTACCGCCGAATCAGCGGATGGCAAGACGGCGGACTCGCTCGACTTTACCTTCAACGACGACAGCACCGTTCTCAACACGCAGTGCCACCTCAACGCCTCATCGGTACCGGTGTCCGGTGACGGGCGGACACCGAGGTACGCTTGCGACAACGCTAGTGTGCAATTCATCTGGCAGAATGGCACGATCACAGTCATCGAGAAGGTTTGCCCTGGTGACGACGGGTAAGTCAACTGTTCTTCTTTCACACGCAGAGCTGTGAAGAAATCCCATGTTCAACGTGCTGACATGTTTCGCTTAGTGCCGCCGACTACGAGGCTTCTGGGACGGCCGCGGTTCCGTTGGTGTGCGACGGAGGTGCCGCGAACGGGACGGGCAATGCCGCCAGGTCACACAGGCGTGCAAGGAGGGCAGCCGTTGCATGCAAGTCCAACTCGGACGACATCCGATCGAGATTCTTCAGCATCCAGCCGGTTGGTTGACAGGGCGGAGGAGAGTAATCATGGGATGAACGTAAAAAAGCAAACAAAAAGAGACGCCATGACAGTGTTCATGGATGATGAAACATACTTGAGTGAGCACACGCTGAGAGGTTCTTGGGTTACAGTTACAGATGGTAGGCCCTAAACAGAACCTTTCCTGATGAGAGGAAAAGCAAAATGAAAGTTATTCGTAATGAAGACACGACAACTCCCGAATAGAATAAGCAATAGACCTAGGCTTCTATCCACATTGCGCATGAGATGATGGAAATTGAAGTCATCCACACTTGTTCTCAACATTCAGGTCCCAAAGGGTCAGCAGGACTTCAAGAGGGTGAGAAGACCCGCCCCGTTGACAGCTTTTCGCGGGGGATGACAGCACAATCCCAGGTCCTTCCCCGGCAGCCACAGGGGAAGAGGGCCACCCAGGACCAACCGTTTGTCGGCAAGCGTCGCTTGGCCGCGCCTCTCCGCATTTTTCATGGAAGGCACGCCGTGCTTAGCACCTTCTTCACTGCCGCTTCCCTCAATTCGCTCCAGGTTTCTCTCTGGATGACGGAATGACCTCACCGCGGTCACCCTCACGAGATCAGCCCTGAGACGTCGGTATCCCGTCCAACTCTCTCCTCTCTCCATCCACCCTTCAGTACCCTAGGTAATACGAGTACATCGTTGAACATACGCACCATTCACATCCGTCTCAACAAAATACCTAATCTAGTAGGAACCTGCACGGGTGCAATCGTCATCATGCGCCTTTGAAGGGTCACGCTTTGAGGCTTTCCCTGCCGTTAAACGTGGTACATTGTCGAAATCGTCACGATCATAAATCGAACCCTCAACAGCCAATTCCTACCAACGTCGCTGTCTCTCTTCAAGCTGGATCCATCCACGTTGCTCAACCTGGATGGTCACCTTACATTGAGCAAACTAAACACTTCTCTGCGCAATGTCTATCAGCCTGCGCGATCGATCATAGCCTGCAACTTCAAAGGGACGTAGACAAGATCGCCAACCCAAACGGAACAGAATGCTCCCTCCAATGCGATATCTCCTCTCCTGCTTACAGCTTGCGCCACTGGTTGGCCTAGCTTCAGCGACACCGTTTGACACCGCGCAGCCGCAGCCGCAGCAACCGTTACTATCGAGCAACGACACCAAGCATGCTGCACCCCCGTTGCCTATCTCCGTCGAGCTCTTCCGATCCCTCGAGCGCACGTCCCGCATAGTCGACATCACCTACTGCGTCGGCACCACGGGTATATCGCAGCCCTTCTCGTGCGTCTCGCGCTGTAAGGAGTTTCCCTCCTTCACGCTCGTTTCGACCTGGAACACGGGTGTCCTGCTGAGCGACAGCTGCGGCTACATTGCCGTCGACCACGGCGTTCGAAGGCCTGGCGATGAGGACAGGTTTAATGGCAAGGTCGGGGAGAAGGCTATCATCATCGCCTTCCGGGGTACCTACAGTATTTCCAACACGATTGTCGACCTAAGCACCATCCCGCAGGAATATGTACCGTATCCATCTCCCGATGAAGGGGGCGAGGCACCCAATGAGCCCAAACGCAAGTGCAAAGACTGCACCGTCCACATGGGTTTCCTGACGTCGTGGCGCCAGGCGCGGAGGCTAGTCATTCCAGAGGTGAAGAAGCTGAGGGAGCAATACCCGGACTATCCCATTCACCTGGTCGGTCACAGTCTCGGTGGCGCTGTTGCCATGCTCGCATCTCTCGAGCTCAAGATCTCCCTTGGCTGGGACAATGTCAGAGTCACGACTTTTGGTGAGCCCAAGGTCGGCAATCAGGGTCTTGTAGACTATGTCGACGAGGTCTTTGGTTTGAAGGGCGAAAAGGACGAGGACATCTCGAAGCGGACCTACCGTCGCGTGACCCACGCCGACGACCCAGTGCCGCTGCTCCCACTTACAGAGTGGGGGTACAAGCCTCACGCCGGGGAGTTCTATATCTCCAAGGCAGAGCTGTCTCCGTCTCTGGAAGACGTCGTGGCCTGTCGCGGTGACAGCGACGGAAGCTGCATCACGAAGGCGGACGATAGCTTCTTCGGATCCAGGCTGAAAGACTTTGTCGAAGTTGCTGCGAAATCGACGTTGGCACCGCCAAAGGGACTCGTTGAGGAGACCAGCAGATGGATCAAGAGGCTACCGGGCTTCCCGGCTCGACTGAAGCTTTGGCAGCTGCTCTTTGCGCACCGGGACTATTTTTGGAGACTCGGGCTGTGTATGCCCGGCGGCGATCCGGCGAATTGGGGGAGAGACAAATATGGAGGTGGCCATGACAGTTTGCTGTCAGAAGAGCTGTGAGCCCCGAATCAACCTTCGGGCTGTCGTATAACAAGTGTATTCAAATGTGATAGTATGGGTACGAGTACTAGTTAGGCTGAAGGGGTTTCTGAAAATGCTGCGGTTGGTTACTTGTATAGCGCCTGTATGGCAACTAGCGGGCGTTTTTTTCTTTGGCTTTCGTTTCTGAGTAACCTGGACATAAATCAGATTGAGCAGCACGGTAAACACGAAAATATCATGAATATGAAATATTACGTTTAATAATTCTCGACTGATATGTTTTGAGTCGTGACAAACCAGTAAAGCCTGAGTCGTTTTGCCGACCACCATCATCTATCTACCTTACGAATCAGCATCTGCCACGGAGCCATCCATGATGACTTGAGAAAAAAGGCATTACTCGGCTTACGTTCCGCTGGGTGGATGATGTTCGTTTGTGGTTTATCACGCCATCAGAGTCAAGGGGCAGAAACAACAGACATTGTTTGATTTTGTATGGGCCATTGCTATATATCTCTCTAACACGTCCAAAAGAGACTGTTCTTTTCAAAGTTATTAAAAATTCGCCGTTCTGTGGATTATACACAGATACTTAGATAGAATACTTTCAAGGAGGGCCACAGCCGGTCACGTATAAACCGTTGGACTGAAGATTATGCGAAAGTCGGGAACAGCCCCGGTTGAGTAGGTAATAGAGATCGCTTCGTTGGATCCTTGGGTTTGGCTTGAGCCTTGTTGGCTTGGAGTGCTTACTTAATTAAACCTTACGGCTACCGGCTCCTCTCCCTTAAGTCCAGCTACTGCAGTTCCCACACTGCTCAGTGTTCGTTGCTCACAGTTGTGGGTTCCCGGGTTTTCCATGACCAGGTTGGCTTGCCCTCCGCATGAATTTTGTCCGCACTTCCGGGTTCGGGCATTCATGACATTGTCACTTGGAATTTGGCGGGTGAGCGAGCAAAAAGAGAAGGGAAGGGATACCAGGGCGAGAGATGAGGGGTAAAAGGAAAAGCAGCTACTCCGTACACCAGCGAGGAGGGAGCATGGCTCGCAAAGGGGGCCGTGGCATAAACTTGACGCCGACGGGTAAAGAAGCACGGCCGTGGTCGAAATCGCGTACGGATACTGGGGATCGCGGAATATTTTCTCTACGAGAGAGAACCTAAGATGCAGCCTGCAAGTGCTGCCACACCCACCAACGGCACCCGCCCAGAGAGTGCCACGCGATAAGGCGGCGGCCAAGGGCATGTCGCATGCGAGTCGCCTGTTCGACCCGACTGCATGGAGGATCCCCCCCCCCCCCAGGGCTGTGCTGGATGTGAGTCACCCACCCGAAAGCTACCTATGATGGCATCGAGTTGGTGTGGTGGCAGTGGTTGGCTTCGAAGTTGGGACGAGAAGGGCTGCCGAGAGATTGGGGGACTAGATTTCAGAGTGTGATAGTTATCTATGTTCGGCCATAGAGAAAGACTGCTTCGTCTCGCAGGCGGAGTTGGGTTGACGTGAGTTTGCTGTTTCCGTACATTATGATGGCAGTATTAGTCGCTGTGGTTCACGTTTCACTCGCAGGGCCTCTGGGCCTACGAGGAGACAAGCCGGGGATGGCGGATGGCACGCTGATCCAACGGGGGATCATCCCTTGGGTTGGAAGTTGAAACCGGTTTCTTTGGGGTTTAAGTTAGAAAGACACGACAGCAGATTGATGAACGATCGGACATTTTGCAGATTGGGCGTAAGCGGGTGGGCAAGGTGGTTTCGTGCATGACACAGCACAGCGCTCTCGACAAGCATGTGCGCGAGCGCAACAACAACGCAGGGAGAGCCACAGACGGAGCATCTTGTAGTGACTGGCACGAGTAGATGCAGACCAAAATAAGAAGATACCATCGTGGTCAGGCGGCAATGTAAACCGGAGGGGGTCGTGGCTTAGTCGACCGGGTGGCTGCTGCTCTCGGCAAAGAGGCACCGGGTTCTGCGAGGCAACGCAGACTGTTGAACGAGACGGTGGAGCGAAACCATGACTGACAACGATTGGCCCAAAAGCAAGACATCAAATGTACTGCGTAGAAGCTGGTGTCGACGGCTACAAGGTCGTTGTAGGATTCCGACTCGCCGTTTCGACTTCCAATCTCCAATATCCAGTGTGCAATCTGAATCCAGTGGGCTGGTGCCCAGGGTCTTTTGACGCTCGCAATAACGCTTATTACCTCTTCATCTTGTGTGTCAGATGATTTCCCTTGTCTCCAACCACGAGAGATTCAGTCCAATTTAGCAACTGGGTAACAGACTACGAAAAGAGAGAAATTCGGTTAGATAGTAGATGTCGTTGAGGACGACTCACAAGCTAGGTATGGATTATGTGAGTTTGAGACAACTTGGGATGGCATTTGATGCGCGTCTTCGAGCATTTCGGCGAGATGAGGTAAGCCATCAGAAAAGCACTGTAGTTGATTCGAGACACGGCCCAATCCAAATGGGGTTCTGGAACAGCGAGTGCCACGAGATATCGTTTGCTGAGATCCGTCAGACCCTGGCATTGGGCGCCTGTGGCCTGTTGAATTGTGTTGCTGCACTAGAAGTTGCGCCATTCTCGTGCTGGGTATTCGTATGGGTAGAGCAAGCGGCAACAAGTTGAAGTGAAGTATCCAGCGACGGAGGTGAGAGGTGAACTGAGGGGAGCGGGCTGTCCGTTGATGGAGAGACTGCAGGGTGTGTGGTGAGGTAAGGGCCAGCGGACACCATCACGCGTGGATGCGCTTGGAACGGGAGAGAATCACGGTATCACCAGAAGGAAAGAATCACGAGACTCCGAAAAAGAAAAAAAAAGCTGTTGTGGTCAGGGAAGAAGATACGTACATGGCGGGCGTGTCGCAAAAACAGGAGCGGGGAAATGCATGGAGAGGGTGGGGCTCGCCCCGAGAACCAAGTCAGCCAGTCAGCAGCCAGTATTTAGGATGTTCCTATGCTTGTGTTATGCTGTGCTGTGCTGAGCTGGCCAACTGCCCACCACACGCGCAGCATTTCGAGGCTGGAGCTCGCACTCAAGAAGCCAAAAAGCAAATGACCTTCACCGGAGTTATCTGAGCGACCTGAACCCTCCCCGAGTCCCCCCCTTCTGGCAGACTCATTTGCGAGCTCATTTCTTCTTCTTCTTCTGTTCCAGCCTTTACTGTGCAATTTCCTGGCCTGAAGAGGTCATTGTGTTGCTAATTTCCATCAATATTCCCATTCCTACCTGAGCGGCCTCAAGATAGCTCTGAAGCTCAAATGGGCAACTGATCCATCCCATCGGTAATTTGCCAATAGCCCGGAAGGGACGGTTTCAGGCTCTTTGAATACTACTTTCAACCATGAAGCAAGTGATATTCCAGGGATGTTAAGAGACTCGTTGTTATCAGAAAGCAGTTGTTCGTTCGAGTTGCTGTTCAAGCGTCGAGGTACGAACTCTGGGAGTACTTCTGCGGTACATACACGGCCCAGGCCAACCGGATGGACGTCAGTTGTGGACCAGGGAGATACATCATGAGCCTGGTTCTTTGGAAGCGGAATCATGCCTTTGATGGGCTCGGTGGGCAGGCTAATCCCAGGGCCGCTCTCCACCAGAAACGCGGACCTCACCACATGCAAATGGAACTCAGGTTGACTTTCCCGTCCGTTTCCTGTCTCTCTGATGGTCTCCCGTTCACTCACAATACGTATGTGAAGCCCTGGTATGAATATACAGTACGGATTGCAACGAATGCAAAGATAGGGTGATGATATTTAGGGGAACGATAGCAGAAAACCGCTTTCACTGCCTCGCCACATGGGCATAGTCCATTCACCAGTCCTTGGTACCTTGGGCCAGATGGTGCTTTCTCAACTGTCCGAGGCACGCAAGGCGAAGTATCTTGGGGCCTAAAATATTGATGATGGAGAGCCTAGCCCAGCCCAGCGCCCCCATTTCTCTTCCCTTCCCGCCAAATGGGAACACGCCCATGCCCTGGGGGCCCATTTGCCAGAGTCCCCGAGCCCCGAGAGCCTGACCACGTCCACAGCAATATCCAATTCACTCGATCCGTCCATTCCAATCCAATTCCAGGGTTCTTCTCTCCCAGCACAGGCCAACGCAGAAGGGCCAAGCCGCAGGCAAGCGAGGGGAGGGGAGAAAAGGGAACATAGTGGGGTCGAAGCGGCAGGTGCAGCCAGCAGGCACAGGGCAGGCAAGCTCAGTCGACTAATTACAGCACAGAGAAGGGCACTGCAATGGAGGTGCCTACACTGTATCGAGAGAACAAGGTGGATGAAGATTGAAACCACATACCTTATTCTCAGATAGGAATTGCAATATCTGGTGCTATGGAACCCAAGGACTTCATGTCCCTTGTCTTACCGAGACAGAGCAATGTGAGCTCAAGTGCAAGCAGCAGAAATATGAGGGTAAGGTACCAAAGAGGTGACCCCAACGTGCGCAGGTGGAGGGGGTGAATGGGCGGCACCTCCCTAAGACTACCTTAGCTAAGGTAAGGTAGTCGGGTAGGTAGGCAGGTACCTTTGGTGGAAGACTGGGAGGGAAAGAACGACCTTGGGACTTGGGACTTGGACCAACCCAATTAAATCTTCACTGGACTGGCCTCGCAACTTCCCTTTGAGATTCCCCCCCTCTCCCAAAATAATTCGTCACACGTAAACACTCCCTCCGCCTTCCCTCCTTCTCCCACCGCACACCTTTTTCCACTCTTCAACAACAAAACAAAGCCGCGTCAACTTTCTCACCACTCCGTTGCACGCCTTTCGCAGTATCCATTCCCGCCTTCTTTAATTTTCTACCAAACCACCTCAACCTATCCTCATCACCTCAATCCAAGAGTTCAACATGTCTGGCGATGTAAGTACCTTTTCCCCCACGCTGCCCAACACAACCTCACCCCAAAACCCCTCCGGAGCCCCTCGATTGCCCTGCCTGCCTGTGTCACGGCAACGAAGATGCCCATAATGCGATCCTTGATCCACAGCTCTGAATCCTGCGATCGATGCCATTTTTGCCTCGACCGGCTTCTCCGACCCCGGCGGCCTTCTTTCTCCCCTTTCAAATAACTCAGGCCTCCTATCGCCCGCCTCGGGAACAAAGTATGCTGACTTGTGCCCCTCTTCTAGCGTGAAAGGTTTGTGCCGAGCCCTCTTCGACGTCGATTGACTACGTCCCATCAACCACAACCATCTGGCCTCGAGGTCTTTCGCGAACTTTTTCTTTCTCTGACTGACCCTTTCCTTACAGCAAGACCTTCCTCGCCCGCCTTTGCGAGCAGGCCGAGCGCTACGATGAGATGGTTGGCTACATGAAGGAGGTCGCCAAGCTGGGCGGTGAGCTGAGCGTCGATGAGCGCAACCTCCTCAGCGTTGCCTACAAGAACGTCGTCGGTACCCGCCGTGCCTCCTGGCGCATCATCTCCTCCATTGAGCAGAAGGAGGAGAGCAAGGGCACCGACAAGCACGTCGGCACCATCCGCGAGTACCGCACCAAGATCGAGCTCGAGCTCGAGCAGGTCTGCCAGGATGTCCTCGATGTCCTCGACGACAGCCTTATCCCCAACGCCCAGACCGGCGAGTCCAAGGTCTTTTACCACAAGATGTACGTTATCCGACGCCGTCGCCGCCGCTGCCGGCGGTTTTGATCAAAGGTCCAATTTCCGAAACTAACCGTGGCACTCCGTGAAATAGGAAGGGTGACTACCACCGCTACCTCGCTGAGTTCGCCTCCGGCGAGAAGCGCAAGGGTGCTGCCACTGCTGCCCACGACGCCTACAAGGTGAGAATGATCCGGGTTGAATGCTGCCGTATTAGAGAACATGGAATCTGACAATACGACCCTCTCTCCTTTAGAGCGCTACCGATGTCGCTCAGACCGAGCTGACCCCCACTCACCCCATCCGCCTTGGCCTGGCCCTCAACTTCTCCGTCTTCTACTACGAGATCCTGAACTCGCCCGACCGTGCTTGCCACCTCGCCAAGCAGGCCTTCGACGATGCTATCGCCGAGCTCGACTCTCTCTCCGAGGAGTCTTACCGCGACAGCACCCTCATCATGCAGCTCCTGCGTGACAACCTCACTCTCTGGACCTCTTCCGACAGCGGCGACGCTGAGGGTGCTGCTGCCGGCACCACCGAGGCTGCTGAGGAGAAGAAGGAGGAGCCCAAGGCCGAGGAGCCCAAGGCCACCGAGGAGACCCCCGCTGCCTCCTAAATTCTTGTCTTACCCTGATACCACTCCATCTCGGCTCGCGACGAGGCTGAGATGGCTCGTCTGCTCGGCCGTCGGTATGCGCTAAATGCGGACCTTCTGACGGCCCCAGTCTAGCCGCCAAATCGGTGGCTAATATCGGTGACTCGCTCCGAGTCTCGCAGCAAAAGGGGAGGGGTTTTTGAGGATTGGACGCGGAGAGAGGAACAATGCGTGGCATGATTTCTATTGGTGTCTTGGATGTCCAACCAGGGTCTAGAACAGCTTCGTTTCTGTTCAGGGATTCCATTTGGCAACCAACTACTGATTCCCCCCTCTATATCCGCCTACGCTCAGAATCTCTTCTTTTGTTCTCCTCGATTCCTGCTTTTACCTCTGTGCTGGATGGTTTTACGGCTGTCTCGTGTTCTCTTTTCGGTTTTCCTCATAGTGGTCCTTCAGTTGTCGCGCGTCTTCTCACGGAGAGAAAGTCCTTTTGCCCCCCTCAAATGCCCCCTGTCTATTCAGTCTACAAGACCAAAAAGAAAATAACAAATGTTCATCAATACATGTGTCCGACGCCGTGCTGTGATCTAATAGGCTGTGATTTGATAATGAAGCCTTGGGAGTCTTGGGATGAGAGGTGATCAGAGGAGGTCTGTGGAACATGTGACGGGCACACCTGCAGATCTCATGACTGGCACCAGGACGGCTAATCACGAGCTATCCACGATGTGACGAGGCTGTCAAATACCGACAAGCAGACGACTAGATTAATCCGTCATTGAGAAAACAGGCAGGTCGTGTGTAGAATCATGAACAAATTGGTATTCCCTGGTAATATTTCCTGAACATGCCAGAATACAACCATGTACTGTGGATGGCACATTTCAAAAACGCCTACCAGCCCAGAAAGCGATACCCCAGAACTCCTCCGTATTTCCAAGAAACCAAAAACCAAGAGGAAAATCCGATCTGCGCCTCATGGTATTCGCAACTCCCATGCGTTTCACACACTCGTCTTTCCCGGTTCACCTGCTTTTCTCGTATTCCATCGTGTACATGTACGCTTCTAACGGCCCGCGTTCGTCCTCGCAAGCAGCCTCTCGGCCCTCCTGAGCCTCGCCTGCTTCTCGGCGATGAGCTTCGGCACATGGCCCCGGCCCTCCGAGTCCGCCTCGTCAACGGCGCAGTCGGCGTCTTCGGCGTCTGGTTCATCCCCTGCCGCCATCGCCGCCGCTGCTTCGGCGGCTAGTGCCGTATTCGTGGCTGTGGGCCAGCCGGCTAGAGTTGCCCGTCGGTACATCTTGGTTGCGTCCTCGGCGCCGCGGGGTGGCATAGGCCCGCTTGTCCTGCTCCCGCTGAGCTTGCGGACAAAATTACGCATGCCGCGGAAGAGTGCGTTGTTGGCCGTCTTTACGCGGAAGATACCCGGAGCGATGTGGCTACCGGGGAGAACCGCGCCGGGTTGCGTCTGGTCGAGGTAGGCGGACGAGGGCTCCAGACCCATAGCGGACGGGGCGCCGAGGCGGGAGCATGTTGGGCAGTATGTTCCTTGCCCCGGCAAGATGTCGCTACGGGGGAAGGTGAAGGCGTCACCTGCTCCCGGAGAGGATGCAGATGAGGACGCCGAGGAGGAGGCCGCGGAGAGGGAAATGTTTGTTGAGGAGGCGGAGGCCGCTGGGGAGGAGGGCGGGCATGTGCAAAGGGATGCCGAGGCCGCTACCTCTTCACGCCAGACTTGGATGCGCTGTTGCTTTGAGAGAGTTGGGTTGGACATTTTGTACGCTTTCTTCCCCTCCTTGGATGTTGGTCCGGGTATATGGTAGGTTGATATTTGCTCGAGTCGAACAGTGTGCTTCGATTTGTGAGTATGCAGCGGGTGTTGGTGACCGTTTCCTCCTATGAAGTATTGTGTGGCCAAGCACCCATCCAGTGGCCGTTCGCGGTTTGTTCGTCGTAACGGGGATTGAGGGTCTCGGTTGCTGATCTTGGAATGAAGATGATGCTCAAGCCAAGACCGAAAGCAGAAAATGTCGGTGGGAGAGTGTCTTCGAGAAGGTCTGCGCTCTACGTGACAGAAGCCCAAAACATACAGGTGAGAGAGAAAATTAGGTGTTGAACGTTGAGAACAGGTATTAACAAGGTCCGTCCGTTTTGATGATATCGTCCGAGGCAAAACAGACAGGAAAAGGTGTAAAATGGGAGGAGAGACGAGGATGTTAAAAGAAAAGGAGAATATTAGAGTGACAAAGTTGGTGGCCGTCTAATAATGCGTAGGTAGCACGAGACCTGTTCGGGTGTTATGCAAGGCTGTCTCTGCTCGGTAGATGGTCTCTAACGTCCCGTTCATGTGCTCTTCCGTCGTGTGTGTAAGGTACACTCCAAGTGTGATTAAGTCGGCGCCAACCCCGGATTCGAAGATAAGATGGGCGGTGTATGCGTGTGTGCATGTGCGGGTGTGCGGGTGTTGGTGTTTGTTTTGTGAGGCAAGTAGGTGTGGCCGGTGGCCAGATGACTTGAATCAGGTCGGGAATTGTCAAGATGTGTACGAAGATGGGCAGGTCGAGATGGTAGGGGGAAGTCGAGTATTTCCCGCTCTCTCACTTCCTTGGCTTGTTCAGAACAGCGGCAAACGAGAGCAAGAATACAAGACGATGGATGGACGAGTCAAGCCTCTTCTTGCCATCCAGTCTTCTCTTTTGGGTGGTACGCAGGTCTTAGCGGGAGAGTGAACGCCCCCGGGCGTATGAAACAAAAACAAAAGAGCAATTAAATTGAAAGGTGGTAGGTTGGGCGGGGGTTCAAGTCAGGTTAGGGATGAGAATAAGAAATGAAATCCCAGTAGCAGCGGCGGTGATGGAAGCACGTTCGGAAGAAGAAAAGATATCAAATGGAACAGCCAGGAGTTGTGGTCGACGGCGGTGGGCTTGTGATTATGTTTAGGTTAGGGTGTTTTGGTAATAGAGCCAACCAAGTTGGTATCAAGCTGAGGAGCGTTGGTTTGCGTGATAGGAGAGTTCGGAAAGCAAGATCCGTATGGTCGAAGCCATGCGTCTTAGTAGGGGATGTACGTTGCTGCAAAGCGTCTCATGAAAAGGAAACAAAACAAACCACCCCTTGAAGAGGAGTAGGTAGCGGCAGCCAGCAACTAGGAGACGAACGACAAACGGATAGGGAGCGAAGCGGGTGGGGTTCGTTCGTTCGAGGTCGTTCGTCGCGACAAGCGTCCGTCCGTTCGTCTGGCGTTCGGCCCTTGCAAACTAAAAAAGGTCTGGTGGAAGAAGAGAGAGGGGCAGGCAAGGTAAGTTCCGACAGGTGACTTTGGTATTAAAAGCACATACGAACAGACGAAGCGACAGCAGCCCAGCAGGTAGGGGTAAGGTAGCACCGATACAATCTGCAGGACAGTTGAGAAAAGCTTGGATGCGTGTGCCTGGGCAGAAGGGGTGTGCAGACTGTAGCGTCCTATGCCGGTGGACGAGAGGATGGGGGTGGAAGCGATTTTAGGTTGTGAAGAAAGAAAGGAAGAAAGAAACGAACGAACGAACGAACGAAGAAAAGAGAGGGTCAGGAAGATGGGACGGGATGGAGACGAGCCGGAAGATGAAGCAGACCGGCTCGTACGCCGCTTAGGAAACGAAAGAGAAAAACAAGACTTGCGCGGTTAGATGTCCCTTGGTGGAACAAAAGGCAAAGGCAGTGTCGAGCGTTTCGAAGGGAACCGGTTCTCTCTTGCTTTGGTGCTTCTATCAAACTAGGCATGCACGACAATGCCACCAACTGCCTCTACCTGCGTATGGAGGTAATTTGGGTGGGCTTCCCTTGGCGACGTTTGCCTGGTTCGGGCCTCGTCTGCCCCACGATCGGCAGGCCCAGTCCAGTATGACCATTGACCACTGCCGGGTGCCGCACTAGGAGAGCAAGATGGTGTTGTCAGATGGTCCATGGAGACTGGCAGTGACAGGGTCGATCGTAGTCGATTCCTTGTTCTTGTTCTTGTTTTTGTTTTTATGCTTGCCAATCTCTCTATCTCTGATCGTCCACCTAGGTATCACGCTGTTGGAGTCTTGGAGAGAAGGGTCTTCCCGCGTGGGTTATTTGAGTGAGTTACCACGTCACACCCGGAAGCGGTCCATGGCGGACAACCGACATCACGAAGGCGGCGCGGCGCGTGCGGTGACACTTCGTCTTCGTGGTACAATTCCATGGGTGATCTCTCTCTCGGTCTCTCCCCCCTCCGTCCCCCTCCTCTGTCAAGTCACACAAGCTAAGGGGGAAGAGGTTGAGAGAGTCAGAGACCGACAGCTCGAACATCCCCCCTCTCCTCGCTCTCCAGTCTCAACCAGCAGCCCCCCTGTTCGCTGTTCGCTGTGGCGCCCGAGGGGCGTGACTTGGACTTGGACTAGGGCGGTGCCTTCGTGCTTGGACGGTGCCGCTGTCAGATGTCAATGAACTCCTGAAGACGCACGCACGCTCAGAAAGGCGGAGGACGCCCTGACTTCATCCTTCTGGACCTCAAGAAAGCGGTGAAGTGTCTCAGTCATTACGGACATTGCGATCGTGAGGATTGGACCTCCGTAGGGATGTATCGTTGGTAGACAACCCCCAGACGACTTGCAGCGGGGCGGGAGAGAGACCATGCAACGGATAGAACTGGGGGGTTACAAAAAATAAGGGTATCAGCTCTCCTCTTCCCCCCTGCCAGTGCTGAACTCCAGGGACCATCCGTCCAGATTCGGTGAGGCCGCTTTGCGATCAAGGTGAAAACTGAAAGAACACATTTTCTTGGAATGGCGTTGTGATGTGGGTGGCTGTGGTATGGAAGCCGATTGGCGTTCGGGCGTCGCCACCTACTCCCCGGCTCACTCATACCGACCGGCTTCTAGAATTACTTACAACCAGCCTCCTAGGCGGGGCATACGCGGTCCTCTCAGTCTAAGAGGTATTGTAACCTCTCCGCTCCATGACAAACAATACTGAGTAAAACAGTGGAAAACGCCAGTGGGTTCGTGGAACACGGT